TTGTGTCAGTACCTTATTCTTGAATGTCCAGTCTCTAAACTGGAAGAAAATGAATTTTTCTCATTTAACTCACTCAGTCTGTGATATTTTGTTATGGTCTTGTAAGCTACTATAGCTATAGAGGCCACACTGAAGAATCTGGTTGTTACTGTAAGAGCAAATGGAAAGCAGTGGAAGATTTTAAAACAGGGGGATCAGCATGATCAGCTGCTTTGTGTCAAATGATTACTCTGGCCACAATGAGAAAACCCACTGGGTGGTGGGGGGCAAGTTTCAGGAGTCCCAGTCTCAAGGGTAATTCTTTTTCCATCATGCTGCTCAGAGTTGGTCTCACAGAGTTCCTTCCACGGTGGGTTCTGGGGAGGATGATGGTAAAGCCCCGTGGTTTGGTCACCAATAATGGCTGTCACAGTTTATGAAAATCTCTTCTTTAAACCTCTGAAACTGCTGAGCAGAAAGATTCCTGCAGCAAAACAGGGGGCACTGGTGGAGACCTGGCTCCTTTCTCTCTGCCTGTCAGGTTATTTTTGGTTAACTTTGCAGGCCAATCAGAGAAGGGGAGGGAAGTAAATGGACTTCAAAGCAAAATGTGGCAAGATGCCTTTCTTGTCGCCTTCCTATCCTATTCCAAGGGTTTGTTTGCTTCAGCCCTCAACCAATATTTCTAGGACCCCTAAGAGCAACTTTGATAAAAAAAATCCCCAGAAAAACTTGGGAAACTGCTGTAATTACTAGTCAAAAGAAACAAAATTGATGAGCTTGTGTAGGTGGTAGTTTTAAACAGCTCCTTTTTTTTTTTTTTTCCCTGCTCATGGTTCTGCATATCGACAGTTTGGGCTGGGCTCCGTGGGTGGTGCTGCTGATCTAGACATGGGGATTGGCCAGCTGATCTGGGGCTCAGGTCATGTGTCTGCAGCCAGTAGCTGGGTAGAGACTGGCTGATTGTCAGCTGGTTGCCTTGGTTCTACTTCATGAGGTCTGTCATCTTTCAACATGGTAGCTGGGACACGAGAGGATGCCCAGTGAACATGCACTTTCAAGTTTCTGTTTATGGCACATTTGTTAATGTTCCAACTAGTCAAAGCAAATCCTAGGGCTGGCCAGAATCAAGGGGTCGAGGAATAGATTCCACCTCTTGAGAGAAATTTTCTGTAAGGACACAATGTATAAGGATGTGGGGACTGGGAAGGGAAGAATTTGTGGCCAGTTTTACAATCAACCTCCCCCTCCAATTTCAGTCATTTGGTGTACAGTGCTTACAACTCTTGCCATATTCACATACTATTCTTGTTTGTTTTCTTTAAATCAACCTCAACTTTAAAAGTACCTATTTTAGGAGCACCCGTGTGGCTCAGTTGATTAAGTGTCCATCTCTTTGTTTCAGCTCCGTTTGTGATCTCACTGTCCTGAGATCAAGTCCTGCGTTGGGTTCTGCGCTCAGCGTGGTGTCTGCTTGAGATCCTCTCCCTCTCTACTCTTAAAAAAATAAAGTACCTCTTCTTAGCTTCCACCTGAACAAACTTGTCTTTGAAATTGTGACTCAATGTGAAATCGTGACTCAAAATCCATATGGTAAAGTCCTAACTCCCGGTAACTCTGAATGTGATTTTATTTGGAAATAGGGTCATTGCAGATGTAATTAATTAAGACAGGGTCATACTGGAGTAAGCTGGGCCTCTAATCCATTATGATTGGTGTCCTTATAAGAAGATAGCCATGTGAAGCCCAAGGCACCAGAACAGCATGTGATGACAAAGGCAGCTGCAAGCCAAGGACTGCCAAAGATTGTCAACAAATACCAGAAGCTAGGGAGAAGCAAAAGCTTCCCCACAGGTTTCAGAGGGAGCATGGCCCGGCTGACACAATTTCGAATTTCTAGCATCGAGGACTATAAGAAAACCTTCATTGCTGTAAGCCAACCAATGTTCAGTATTTTGCTATGGCGGACCTAGGAAATAAATAATTATATAAAAAAATATTAGCTTAAAGCATATGAAATTGTCACCATTGTATTTTTTAGGTTAAAAAAAGCTTACCCAGCAGCAGTTTCAGATTCAAATAAATATCTGGCTATTGAAAAAGTTTGTGGACTACATAAAATGATCCTGTATGCTGTCATTGGTCTATCATTACACTTTAGAAGACATTGATTTAAAATGTTCTATGAAAAAGTAAGGCGTTTAAACTGCAGTGGGAATGTCTGGCTTTAGATGATGCTTCGTCTCCGCAACATCGTCTTTTCTGGCTTCACCTACTTGAGGAAGCATTAGCATAAAAACTATATAATTAATTTGTGCGTGCTCTGAACCTAAAATCAGAAGAAATGAAAATTTTCTTAGTACTGAACCTGACTTTTCAAAAACAAAAACAAAAACAAGAAAACATGAATTCATCTCCAATCTTGAGATATCAAAAAAAAAAAAAATCAAGGAGTGGATTTTCTAGACAAGACATAGTGTGCCATTTGGCTTCTAAATAAGTTGTGTGGATTGACTCAAGTTTCTTTCTTCAAGACAGTCCCAATCAACTTGAAACTAGTTCGTAGAATTCCCTTTCAGTCACTTTTTCATGGAAATAATAAAAAAAAGGGAATGAAACTTAAAATTTCTGAATCTTGCACATACTAGCTAATTAAGAGACTATCTGTCATGATTATTTTGAGCACCTGATCATTTCCATCAATCACCCAAGCAGCCCTGATAAGCCAATCCTTTTTTAATCGATGTTGAGCCACTGAAAAGTTGCCATAGATACCAAATTCTACAGCCATCACAACAGAAAGTCAGGTTGGAATTGGAAGTGACAGGTGTATTCATCACATAGTTAACAAGCCTTTGAAGGGAAAGAGAGAGTTTGTCAGAGTCCTTAGGCTGGGTATAAAAGATTGCAAAGAACACTCAAACAATTCCCAAAGAGCACTTCAAAAGCAGGGGGGAAAGATCCGTTTTTCATTAGAAATGCAGGAAGATGTTTGCTTGAAATTCAAGCTCTAAGTAACAAGTTCCTTGAAGTTTTGCTTGGCTGTCATTTACCAGGGGTCACCAGCAAGTTATCTGAAGAGCAGAGTTTCCGTTTTCTCCTCATCTCCTTTCCGCATCAGAGTAAGGGTGGTTGAGGGTATGGGGCCGTAGTTACTGTAAAAACAAACACCAAAAAACAACAGTCCTGATTGCACCGTCTATACATGTGGACATTTGAATATCTATGCATTTTTATGGATGTGTGCGTGTGCGTGTGTGTGTGTATACTAGTTATCACTATGGTTGGGAAAAAAGTGTAGTACCAAGAAATATCTTTAAGGAGTCCTTGTACATAAGCCAGTATCTATTACTAGTAAAAATATTGGATGTTCAGAACTTTAGAGAGTTGGTGAAAAAAACAGAAGATTTCAAGTGAAGGAAATGTATCTATCCCAGAGGAATAGCCTACACCTTCTGGCGTATTGCTCAGGCTGAGACAGACCTGGTTTTACCTCTTGGTGAGCTGGTGTTCCTCCTTCATATCAGCAGCTGGGCTGCATGGAAACACAGTGATGGCCTTGATCCCTAGGAATGAGCACTGGAAAGGGAGTCAGGGGAACAGAGTCCTGAACCCAGCTCTGCTGTGAATGCAAGTTTCTCTAGGACTGGATGACCCAGGATGGGCAGAGGGTCTGCCTCAATTGCTAGAAGTTTCATCTGGTTCTAAGTCTCTTTGAGTCCTGATGGTTCTTTGGGTCTATACTACACAGCCAGCTGAGGCTCGTGGGGACTTGTGTCTGACTTGTCCACCCCGCCCCGCCTCATTGATGGCTGTCATCTGCTTCCTGATGTGTGTCACGGGGCCCTGAGGTGCCACTTTGGTTTTGTGCTCCTAAAGTGCTGGGTTTGGGGACCCTATCAGAAAACAAATAGAAATAGTTTAATAAAGGAAAGGAGTTTTCAGGAAGTTCCTGAAGGCTCAGAGCCAAGGATGGAAGTTTAGATAGAGTGCGTGTAACTGTGCAGGAAGTGATTCTGCTCATCCATAAGAGGGGTGGACAGCAGAATCTTGACTTTGATGCTCCACTTGTCCAAACATTCTGTATCTCTATTCTTTATAGCCCCCGGAAGGTGGCGTCTCATCATAACACCCGCATGCCAATAGAGAAGAAATGAATCCAAAACAAAGCAGGGACGATGCAATTTATTACACAGATATGTGATCTATTTTTAGTTATATTATCTATGAAATCTATTTATGAAAAATAACAATCTAATGTGGGTCTGATATGAGGCACCCCTAATTTACCCTTTTCTTTTTTCTCCTATTTCTCAGTTCATGGCTATGGTCATAATTGGTCTGGGGTGCCTTATTTCTTCTTTGCTTGCTTATATGTATGTAGTTCTTTTTATTCTGACACCTCAATAACTTGCCTTCCTCAACATCATCAATGATTTTAATGCTGTGCAAAATGTATTAATGCCTTTTATGCTGTGCAAAATGTACCAATGCCTTGCCGTGCCTGTATTTCAAACCTATGTAAATGGAAATTTGTTATAGATTTTGTTCCATTTCTTGTGCCTTTTTTTTTTTCCCCCCACCAGGCATTACGCTTTTCAGATCCATCCTTATTGCTCTGTGTCCTCATCTCTTTAGTTGGACTTTCACTCATCAAATTAGTCATTGAGGACATATTATATGGTAGGAGCTGTTGTTAGCTAGAAGGTAGACAGTGATGAAGTCTGCAAAGCCTACGTTCTCCTGGGAGGCAATAAGCAATAAACTAGGAGACACATAAATGCATAAAACAGCTTTGGGAAGTGATCAGCACTGTAAGGAGAATGAAACAGGGAGACGTGGTGGTATCTGGAGATCTGCTGTACTTACAGGCTTGGTCAAAGTCATTCTAAGGGGGTCAGATTTGAGTTGTGATCTGAGGGAAGAGCATTGCAGCAGAGGGGATAGCAGTGTGATGTTTGCAAAAGGCTTACCTGTTCAGAAGCAGGAGGCCATCAGAGGGTTGGTGAATCCCTCAGGTGGGAGTAGCTCAGGACATTTGGATACACTTTTAGCTTCTTCAGTCCTTTGTCTTTCTTCCTGTGCCACGTTCTTTTCTCTGATCCAAGGCATGGGTTTGAGTGAACAGAGGGTATCTGGCATGGACCATAGTCATTCAATTCCTAAGGTACTCTGACACCAGTGAATCCTTCTTTCCTTCTTTTCCCCTCCTTCTCTCCCCTTCCTTCTCCCTCTTCTTCCTTTCCTCCATACCTTCCTTCTCCTTTCTTCCCCCTTTCTCTCCCTTTTCCCCTTCTCCCCAGCAAGCATTTACTGAGAACCTAAAGAGTGTCTGGCACAGTGCTAAACACTGGGAGTACATTGATAAGCATTGTTTTTACCCTGATGGACCTTGGGTTTTGAGCATTTTCTCACTTTTGTTGTATATCAGGATGTCTTCTTTCTTCCCATTCTCTCCAAAATGTAATAGTAATGGTAATGAGAGAAATAGCCATTTCTTCTTGTTTTCCAGTAGGTAAACATGTCCCCACGACCACCTTCTCCTTTTCTGATTACCGCTGATGGTTTGCAATCTGTCAAAGAATATTCAGAAAGGTTTTCTTTGGTTTCTTCTTGCAAGAACAGTCAGAAATAAATAAATTAATAAAATTATATTTGCTAAAAAAATTGAGAATCTGGCTGTGTGTCACCACATAAAGATGTGCTAATCGCGACTTCAGCAAACAAAAGTGTAAGTTGGAAGGATTCTGTGTGTGGTTGGCATGGAGGATGGTAAACCGATGAATACAAATAGTGCCTTCCCTAAGAACGGGCTGGACTTAAGTGTTCATGTAGAAGAGACGTGGTTAGAAGGCTGTGTACTTTTCTCAGGGACACAGGGTTTGGGTAGAGTAATGTCTCTAACCTTAACTGTGAAACACTGGTTAACCCATAGCACACCTGGTAAGTTGTCTGAGTTGTCTAGTTGTACAATAAAATCTGTCCAACACTTAGCAGTGTTCACAGGCATTCTCTTCCCTGTCTCCTCAGCCATTGCTTGGTTTGAAGCCTGTTCTTCCTTATCGAAATCACCCCAATAATTTCCTCACTGGTCTGTTTCCGCTGTCTTTATCTGTCCGCCTCTGTCTCCCTTAGATGTTCATCATCCACGTTACAAGCACGAGATTTCTTTTTTTTTAAATTTTGTTCATTTATTTGCCAGAGAGACAAGCAGGGGTGAGGGGCAGACGCAGAGGGAGCAGCAGGCTCCCCACTGATCAAGAAGCCTGATGTGAGACTCGATCTCAGGACCCTGGGATCAGGACCTGAGCTGAAGGAAGACACTTAAAATCTGAGCTACCCAGGCATCCCCAAGCACGAGATTTCTAAAATATAAGTCTGACTGAAGTCATTCCCTCTAACTCAGCAGAGCTTCCTCTGAGTAAAGCCTAGACTCCTCACCAGGAGTGCAAGACTCACAGGGCCTCTGTCTTACTTACCTTTGAGCTCACCTCTCCATGCTTCCCCCCCCCCCCTTCACTGGGCCTTTGTCTCTTGGCTCGGAATGCCCTTCCTCTCTTTGTATTTATAAATTCTTTCTCTTTCTTCAGGATTTAGATCAGGTGTTCTCTCTTCTCTAATTGCTTTCTCCCCACTCTCCAGAGTCGTCTGTCCCTCTTTAATAAGGTAATATCACATTGTTTCATAATTATTTATTTACACATTTCTCTCACTGGGCATGGGATTCCTTGAGGTCAGGAACTACGTCTTACTCATTTGTTACTCTAGGACTTGGCACAGCAAAGGTAGTTAATAAGTATTTATAGAGAGGAATGTGTTTAGAGCCATGAGGCTGGGATAAGAAGTAAGGGCTAGGAATGGGCTCCCCATATTCATTTCAGGAGTGAAGTCCTAAGGTTGGTTCTAGGATGAGGACCCTGGTGATGATGTAGAATGGGCTGGACTCTGAGTGGTCAGTCATATGTGTGGGTTGTTCTTACAGGCTGAACCATAGGATTTATGTAGGGGAATTAAGTGAAATGAGATGGAGTGAAATGAGCATAGAAATGACATAATCCAAAAGGCCCTTGGGAATGATACAACCCAAAAGGTGCTCTGGACCACTAATTGGCCCATTGTGGCTGGGCTGATGTGGGAAAGTACAACCAGAGAGACAGTGTGAGAAAGATTGGAGTGGACTGGGTATGAGCTGATAGGAATCTGAGGTATAGAAGTGTCAGTTGAGATGGAAGGCAAGTCTCTGCAAAGTTTGTCTTGATTATGGGGCTATATTTCCCATTAACTCTGTAAAACATTTGACATACCTTGAAGTATTTTATCAGTGGCCTTTGTCCTTGGACTACTTTAAAGCGCCAACAGGGTTAGTCTGGGACTGCTGGCTCTCCAAAGCCAAGAAGAGTCAGAAGTGAGGAGGACCTCACTTCCTCCTCACCTGAAAGGAAGATCTGTTCTTTGTTTTTTTTTTTTTTTGTTTTCTTTCCCTGTTGTGGCTAATGAGAATTTCATGATCAGCAGAACTTCTTCACTCAAATTCATATCTCATTGTGCTTGAAGACAACAGCTACAATTAAGCTTTTTGTTGTAGGTTTCATTTGCTCAAGTGCGGATGGTCTAAGTTAGTGTCATCCCCACATGAGACCTGACATTATCCTCCCCTGGACTGGGTGGTTCTTGGGGCTCTACCTCTCAACCCTGATGGCTCCAGAACCTTGATGACATGCTGACATCAGATCTACAACCAAAGGTAGAGTAGAGGCAACCTGATGTCAGGGACTTTGAGAGGTTTACTTTATCTGCTGAATACATTCAAGACTTAATTGCTGATGGATAAATTGATATCAGCAATCAACAAAAGAGGCAAAAATGTTTGGGAGAAGTAAAATATTGGCTTACATTTCCACTGGGGTGTGAAGGACAGTATTGGGCACCTCTCATGTCCTGGCTCCTATTCTCTCTGCCCATCTTGTACTATAATGAATGACACCTGCTTTCTGCAGGTAGGCCTTAATACTATTCCTCACCTGTTTCTCTGGAACTTTTCTGATCCAGAGATGTGGGGAACTGAAGAAACACACCTGGTACCCAATAGAACGTGCCTGGAATTGTAAGCAAGTTCCTGTCTGCTATGGTCTGAATGTTTGTAGCACCCCCCACCCCCCCATTCATATGTTGAAAAACTAACCCCTAACGTGATGGTATTAGGAGGTAGGGCCTTGGGGAGATGCTTACTTCATGAGGGTAGAGCCGTAATATATGGGTTAGTGCTCTTACAAAAGAGACCCCAGAGAGATTCTGCATCCCTTCTGCCATCTGAAGGCACAATAAAAAGAGAGCTGTCTGTGACCCAGGAAATGGGCTTTCAGCAGACACTAAATTTGCCAGCGCTTTGATTTTGGACTTCCCAGCCTCCAGAACTGTGGGAGATAAATTCCCTTTTATCATGAGCCACGCAATTTATGGTATTCTGTTCTAGTAGTCCAAACAGGCTAACACATTGTCTAATGGGGAGATCCTTGCCAATGAGGGACAGGAGCTGGTGGACAAGTCCTGTCCTCTTCTGTCCCTCAGGTAGACAACTATGAGGCATGTTTTATACAGAGTGAGCTTCAGTTTCTACAGTGATGCCCAACCCAAGGATATGCCTTTATAGTGGCCTCTGTCCCTCCCTTCCTTCCTTCTTTCTTTCCTTCCCAGTTTCACTCTTTAAGCCCTTTCTCCTGGGATCACTTCTAAAAATAAGCATCCAGTATGGGAGCTTATGTCTCAGGTCCTTCTTTATGGAGCAGGGAACCAGGTTAGCACTGGGGCTGGGGGTTATCTTTCCTGTGAGGGGCTACAAAACATAAGTGGGTGGCCTGATGGCATCAGGATAGGGTGAATCTCACCTATATGCCATGTCATGTCATGGGCTCAGACATGTTTGTGAATTGTCTTCATGTGTGCAGAGGAATTGAGCAAGAAAATGTGCTTGCCATGTGTTTTTGGACAAAGCAATTCAACCAAGTCAAAACATCACTTCCACTGCTGTCCTTATTGGACAATAATCATGTCAGCATGCTTGACTAGTGACCAGAGTCCGTGATGAGGGTGGGAAATGGAAAAGGTTGTTGGGCTCTTGGTCTTCAGCTCAAATAGGTTATTTATGTCTAATGGATGGTTTTGATGTTAGTCTCATTGAGCATTTATCATATTACACTGTATTAAATTTCTCCTCAGTAACGAATGCATCTGAATTAAAAAATGAGGATTTTCTGGTACGTATTTTATTTTCATAATTATCCTTTTCCTCTCCCTTCTCCCTGTTACTTCCTTTCTCCTCTTCCTCTTTTTCCTCCTTCTGGCTAGGGGCTTCTTCTGGCTAGGTAGCTAGTGACTTGGGTGCTTCTGACTCTCTGAGATAGTCAGTGCCTTACCTCAAAACATGGAGCTGTAATACCTGATATGTCCCCCACCATCTTCAACCACATCACCAGCACGTGCTCTTTATGTCCTGTCCCTCCCTCCTGGCTTTGTTCTGAATGCCCTCTACCCTCCACCTCAACCACCTCTAATCTCTAGCGATAGAGATAAGACAGATATAAAAATCTTCATGCTTTCTGCTACCATCCAAAATATATGTTTGCTTCTCACTTTCTCATCCTGGGTTCCTGGCTGCCAGCTGAGTTAGAGAGTTCCATCTTTGCTTAAGAGGAAATTTCCCAAACAGTTCCAAGCAGAAAGTAAAAAAGGAACAATTCATATATGTTAGAGTTAAGACACAATCTTTGTGGACAAGTCTCAGGAGAAGTCCAACTCCCATTTACACCAGACTGACACTTTAAACAGTTACCTCCAGCACCCACTCACCCCCTAGTCCCTCTGGAGGGTCAGCATCCAGCACCTGGAAGAGTGGTCACCCTCACTAGCTCAGGTTCTGGCCTCCCATCATCTGTTCCAAATCCCAGATCCATCGTGCCTGCCAACTTGTGCCTGGAATCCTCTTCCTGGTCCAGCTCCTTTGGATAGTGACTTATTCAATGAATGTATCATTCTTCTGGAAGAGCTATTGCCTCTTGGGGGACACTTCTCTGCTGGTGGCTGCTGCCCTTCCCTGGGCCTGATTGCCAAATGGATGAAGAAGCACATGGAGATAGGGCAGATGGAAAAAGAGTTGAACTATCCACTTTGCAGCTTCCATTTAGTCTTCAGGGCTGCTCTTGAGGTACTGTTGAAGCCAAAGGCTTTCTGTAGGTACCACCGAGTTTGCTTTGGTCTGGGTGGATATGGGACTTGGCTTAGATGGGGCATATGTTCAGTCTACTGTAGGACAAAGAATCACACAGATGGAGTGAGCTGGACCTTAAGTAATTAGAAAGAAGCCACAGGCCCTCCTGGACTATTCTTAGTTATTAGCATAAAGGTTAACACAGGCCAGGGAAGAAGAAACAGTTAGTTGTCATTCATGGTTAAGCAGGTAAAGATTTCAGAATAAAGAGGTCCCAGACCTCCAACTGACTAGCCCCTCCTCATCCATTGTCCAAGGGCCATGCCTCCAGAACTACTGTTTCTTTTTTTTTTTCCCCCTCTCCCCGCCCCCACCCAAGATTTTATTTATTTATTTGAAAGAGAGAGAATGAGAGAGAGAGAGAGTATATGAAGAGGGGAGGGTCAGAGGGAGAAGCAGACTCCCCACCGAGCAGGGAGCTGGATGCAGGACTCAATCCTTAGACTCCAGGATCATGACCTGAGCTGAAGGCAATCGCCTAACTGACTGAACCACCTAGGCAGCCCAGAACTATTGTTTCTTCTCAGTCATCTCCTGGCTTCCAGGACATTACTTTTGAATGAAAGCTTTCTAGAATTCATTAGGTTCATTGGCTCAGGTTGAAGACCTTCAACTGATGCTGGGCCTGGCAAGGGCAGGTGGAGATATAAATCCACTTTGTCTTATTCTTTTATTAATTTATTAAGGAATATCTGATGTGTTTATGGATTGTTATTGCTTCCTTTTTTTTTTTTTTTTTTTTTTTAATTATGCTCCTGGTGGGGATGCAAGCTGTCCTAGTTCCTTTCTCAGATGTCTGACTTGGTTTATGGAAGCCAACCAGGCCCATTGGGTTAACTTTTTCGACTCTCCAGACTAAGGAGGTCTTATTTAACATTTAGAGCATTATGCAATGTTTTCTGGAGGTGAGCTGCTTTCTTTTAGCTCACCCAAAAGTGGAAAAGGCAACCAATGGAGCCCAAATCAAAGATTCTCTGCTGGTCCCTAGACACACCTGGGTCTTGAGTCTGAACGTTGTCCCTAGCAGCAGCAGGCCTGCCTTACCCATGGTCGAGTGGTTTGGGAGAAGATCAAAGGTTGAGAAGAAGATGACTGTATGGGAAGTGCCTCCATCATTATGAGCCAAACAGACACATTAGAGCAGTATTTGGTGAAGGTTCCAGATCATCGGTATCAGTATCACCTGGGAACATATCTGAAATGCAGTTTGGGACCTCATGCCATAGCTACTTAGTTAGAAACCTCG